TTATTAATTGCATAAGAGAATGAGACCACAAGGGGGTTCCTCTGAATCAAATTGGGGAAACACACTGGGCTCTTTGGATACTTGCCAAGAAGGACCATAATGGTATTGGGGAGTAACGCTTCAATCATACTTAATAAGGCACAGAGAGGATAGGGATGTATGGCAAAGAAAGTACATAGACAAATGGCCTAAAAGTATAAAGGCAGATAGAGTGAGGAGAGGGATGGGATGAAATGGTAGAAGAAGATGGGCAATGTAAGGAAGAGAATGGGGAGGAGAGTCACAGAGAGTCACATAATCATAGATTAGAGTTGGGAATCCTTGGGTAGCATAGACCCAGAAGGAGGTGGAGGAGTGCTGGGGTGGCGGGGGGAGTTTGGGGTCTCATTTTTATAGAGTTTTGGTAGGGGACAGACTAACTCTTATCCATACCACCTTGGGATTAATTCATTAACACATCCACAATGTCTCAAAGTTATCAGCAACATTTAGTGTTCCACTGGTTTTTACTATGGATGTCTGGAGCTTGTCTGAGGCTCAGATCATGGCAGTTACCAGGACCAGAAGGTCCTAACAGTAAGGTCTAGCTTAATATGACTTGTAGTTAATTTATGATACAGTTTGCAAGCAACTGTTATGCCCCTTTGGTGTATGGGACTGTCTGTATGTAAATTCTAGGTCCCCTTTGCAATTTTACTTTTTGCTACTGTTACTTTATACTGTCTCCTTATTTACTTACTATACTAACCGGAAGGGTGGGGTCAACAGGGGGACCAGAATAAGATGCAGTTTTAACACAATGGTGAAAAGCATCATCCAATTCTCTTATACAAAATAAAAGGAACTAACTCTTCATTGTCAGCTGTTTTAATTTCCTCTCTTCCTTTAGTGTTCTGATATTGATTCTAGAACCATCTAATTTTGATGTGCTTCTAAAGAGGTTGACATTACTGCCAAGTCTTATGGGAAATGGCATTTCCAAGCAAAACATTGCTCTCTCTAGGTAAAACAATAGGAATCACCTACTTAACTAGTTGAGATAAATTTTTTGTTTATATACAAGTTTTTTTCTTAAAATATTTTTGAAGGGGGGCAGAGCCAAGATGGCAGAGTAAAAGCAGTCACTTGGCTGAGCTCTCCCCCAAACCCCTCCAAATACCTGTAAATGACTCTAAACACATTCTAGAGCAGCAGAACCCACAAAAAGACAGAGTGAAACAAATTTCCCATCCAAGACAACCTGGATGGTTGATAGGAAAAGTCTGTTGGGCCAGGCTGGGAAAGGAGGATAGTTCAGCATGGGCCATGCAGGCAAAGATGGAGCAGGCCTCAGGAGACTGAATCACAGGCAGCTGTGGTGGTTTGCAGACTTATCAACCCACAAACCTAGTGGGTCAATGGGAAAGGTCTGTCAGACCTGGGTGAGAGAGAAGCACAGTCCAGCCCTGACCCTAGCGTAGCCCCAGGGTGGTGGCCACAGTGGCAGCAACTGCTTCCAGAGCTCTTAGCCCACAGGTGGTGGGGGTACCGAGCAGCTGATCAGAGGAGGATTGCAGGGATCTCTTTGCTGGTGCTGAGGCAGTATTCTCTTGCTTTGCCTATGCATGGATCTGGGTTGCAGTACTGGGTAGTGGTCCTGAGGCAAGTGGTCCTGAGGCAAGGAGGAGCACTGGTGAGGCAGAGCTTGTGACAAGGTGGAGAGGGAATCCTCCTCACAGTTCCAAGACAGAAAAGAGTACTTGTGGTCACTCATAGACCAGAGCACAGGCCAGGAAAGGAGTAAACACCTCACCTTTGACCATATCACTTTAGAAGAACTGAAAATTTACAGGTCCCTGGAAGTATCTCTGTTTTTTTTTTCCATTTTTTTTTTTTTGTGAGGCAGTCAGGGTTAAGTGACTTGCCCAAGGTCACACAGCTAGTACATGTCAAGTGTTTGGCCTGAGGCTGGATTTGAACTCAGGTCCCCCTGACTTCAGGGCCGGTGTTCTATCCACTGCGCCGCCTAGCTGCCCCCCTGGAAGTATCTCTGAAAACCACTACACAAAGCCTCTGAAGCTTGGGACAGTACACCCTCCATAATGGAAGCAGAGCTCTACCTTAACAAAGAGTTAAAAAAGTCAAGTAATTGGCTGGGAACATGAGCAAACAGTAGAAAAAACTCAGACTATAGAATCTTACTTTGGTGACAAAGAAGATCAAAACATACAACCAGAAGAAGACAACAAAGTTAAAGCTCCTACATCCAAAGCCTCCAAGAAAAATTTAAATTGTTCTCAGGCCATGGAAGAGCTCAAAAAGGATTTTGAAAAGCAAGTAAGAGAAGTAGAGGAAAAATTGGGAAGAGAAATGAGAGTGATGCAAGAAAAATAATAAAAACCGTGTCAACAACTTGCTAAAGGAGACCCAAAAAATACTGAAGAAAATAACACCTTAAAAAATAGCCTAACCCAAACGGCAAAAGAGGTCCAAAAAGCCAATGAGGAGAATGCCTTAAAAAACAGAATTGGCTGATGGGGCAGCTAGGTGGCGCAGTAGATAGAGCTCCAGCCTTGTAGTCAGGAGGACCTGAGTTCAAATTCGATCTCACTTGACACTTGACACTTACTATGACCCTGGGCAAATCACTTAATCCTGATTGCCTCAGCAAAAATAAATAAATAGATAAATAAATAAATAGATAAACAAACAAATAAATAAATAAGTAAAAGAAACTGCCCTGATATTCTAGAACCAGAGTGTAAAATAGAAATTGAAAGAACCCACTGAATCACCTCTTGAAAAAGATCCTAAAAAGAAGACTCCTATGAATATATCCCTTTGCCTTTCATCTTAGAATACTAAGAAATAACAAACACAAAGTGATAGAGACATCTGTGTGCTCACAGATACCCTGGCCAGGAGGGAGACAGAGCAGTCATCCTTCTCCTATCTGGCTCTCAGGAAGGAAACCCAAAGCAGTCCTCTGTAGCTACGAAGGAAAGAGGGCAAGATAGGGGCAGGTGTCCCCTTTTGTATAGCCACTGAGTTCTAGTCCAGCAATCCCTGAGTTATTGTTCTGACTGCAATTACAGAAGTCTTTATCATATACATATACATCCCTGAGTCATGGTAGCCAGAAGTAATCTCATCTCAAACTTCTACTTGGTCATGTTGACTAGAACCAGCCATGGATTATCTGTGCCCCCAAATCAAGTATTAATAATTAAAATTAAATTAAAATAACATTAAAATAACAATAATAGTGATAATAAATAGCTAACAATTATATAGCACCTACTCCGTGCCAGACACTGTCCTAATCACTTTACAAATATTATCCGATTTGACCTTCACAAAAATCTTTAGATGCTATTATAGTAGAGCTATATTATATAGTAGGTGCTATACTGTATTATATTATACTATATTATAGTAAGTGCTATTATGATCTCTGTTTTACAGATGAGGAAACTGAGGCTGATTGAGGTTAAATTACTTGTCCAAGGTCACACAATTAGTAAGTGAACTCAAGCCTTAACTGATTACAGTAAGCCATTCCTCCCACAATGCACCTTCATTAATCTCCCAACTTTGCAGCACTCTCCTTTGATTGTTTTATCTCCTCAAAAGATTATAAAAAGCTTAGCCTTTCATGAACTCTGGAAAGAGCTTCTTCATAGCATTACATTCTGTGTTTGAATGCTTTCTCCCTTAATGACTGTAATTAGAGATCAATCGAGAAAGAGCTTTAAGAGTACTGGGTTAATTCAACGCTATCATTTTCTTTTGTCTTCCCTACTTTGGGCATTGGAGGTGTGGAAGGCAGGGCAGGCTCTAAATATCCCTGCAAAAGCAATGTCATGAATAAATAGGAATTATAAAGGAGAAAGAGAGTTGGTTTGTGTGATGGAAAATGAGTGATTATTTCATCCTGTGGAAAATACCAAAAGGAGAGGAACGAAATAGTAGTAGGGAGCTATCTAGAGCAGGACATTGAACAAAAGAACAAGAGGAAAGAAACCCAAATGAGAGAAGATAGTTGACAATCTTGAAGGTGAGAAATTAAAATGGGTCAAGAAAATCAATGGCAGAGCCAGCTAAGAACTATAGTATAATAAGTTTATAGAATGGAGGATAAATATTATTACAGTTGTCATGGCCCCAAGCTTTCAGATCCAGGGACACTTCATTTTGCACAAGAATGTTCTTGAAAAGTTATGTGTGAAATGAAATTTGTAAAATAACAAAAAAGTTCTGTATTTATAGGCTCTCTGCAGTGAATTCTTTTCTAAAGTAAAGAATCCTTAATGCCAGTCGTTCTGTAATTTTTCATTCCTCTTCTTTGGAGATCTGACAGGGTGTTATTATAATGATGATGATGATGATGTAGTAGATGTATCTTGAAACTCTGTTGTGACATCTTTTTTTTTTTTTTAATGCAGTAATGATTTAAAATGTTGCTAGCACCTTTTCTTAGCTAGGCACCACATTCCTGGGAGAGTATCACTTCCACTGTGATTGAGATGGGCGACTTGTTGTGACTATATTAACGTCTTAGTGGCTTCAAGGTAGACAATAATTTTCCAGTTTTGAAGCAAAGATGCAGACTTGACAGATACGCTGACCGGAATTCCTTATTTTGGCCATCTAGCTGTAAAAACTGCACCAAATGAGCCTAAGCCAGTATTCCAGGCTTACACACACACAGCAACTCAAAACAACCAAAGGAAGAGGGGGAAGGGACTCCTCTAGTTTTACTCCACCGTTTGATAGTCTCTGGGAATTGCCGAGGGCTCAAAAATCATTTATTTAGATTTGCCTTCCATCACTTGATAGCTGGCACAAGCAACCTAGTGACATAATGGAACTCAGACCCAGATTATGGCTAGCACTGGTCACGCGGTGTCGCTGGCTCCCTCTCCCCCAGGCCCTCTTCCCTCCCCCTCAGATCCTCCTCCTTCCTCCCCAGGTCCTCCTTCTTCCCTCGACTCCTCACCCCCGC